ATCCCAAAAGATGAGGGAATACTGAGAAGTATATATATACTTCAAGCACCTCAAAAAAGTATTGTTCAAAGTCTTAAACTAAGTAAATGCTGTATTTCTTGTACTACTCATTTGTTTGAATCATAATTAAAAAAAATATGTTGTCATATATTGTGGCTTTATTGTTACAAAAGAGTCTCAAAAGAAAAACTGGTATAGAAGGAGTGGAACTGAAATTACATTTTTTTCCTTAAACTTCCTAAGTTTCTAAGAACCTTGGAAGATGTCAAGGCTTGATTAACTCAAGAAATACATTCAGTAAATATTTTAAAACGTTATGGGAGGTAAGACATTAATTAAGAGGTAAGGTATGGCAGATAAGAATACCTTTGGGGTTATTTTCCAACAGTACAAGTCCCATATGTCCTACCTCACAAAATCCAGGGGGCATTTCTTTTAACTAACAGTCTTTGCTACCAGACTGCTACTAAAGGATCACATTTCTCAGGTGTGTTTATAAAGTTGAGAAACACTGGTAAGCTGAGTTCTAGAACACTTATATTCAGCAGTAAAACTGAGGGTGAATCTCTTAAATTTATTTGTGAAGACCTCTTTACCATCTGCAGATGTCAGACTGGTTCATATAAGCTGGAACACGTATTCCACCCTGCATACTTTTCTGAAAGTAGGCAGTCTTCTCAAAAGCAAGAAATACTGTGGTTTCACGTATGCATAGAGAACATTCTGTGAGTCACCAGTACTTGCACAGTGTTAATGCAAAGACCACAAAGACCATAAACTGATGATTAAATCAGTTATGGGTATTTGAAAATGCCCAAACCCAATACCATTCATTATCTAGTTTCATGGACCAACTATCCAAGAGGTTCAAACTTAACCCATGCTATCATTATGCATCCCTCTTCAAGTGGAAAGAGAATCAAAAGTTTCTTTTCAAAGAGGAAAAATACACAAAACTGGGCCCTTCCAATTACTCCCTTATTCTCAACCTTTCAAAACAAAAGCGTTTCAATCACTGTGTCATCCTAGGTCTGTCTAAACACTTGGGAAAGATGTACCTGGGTAATACACAGTATATGCTTTTTTCTACAAAGCCATTCAAGAACTGAAGAAATTTATTATTCTTGTTTACATCTCAGATTCTGTCTTTGTGGCAATTATGGTAGCTAGGAGCATTTTCACCTAAAGAAGAACTAATAAATCTCTCCTCTGAACTACCCATGTTTACCCTATGTGTTTCTGTGCTCAAGTATAATTTTTCTACTTTCAAAACAAAATAGCTCAATAATGAATACAACTGCACCCTCCTTTAATGGCTATAAACTTACAGGACTCTTAAATGCATAATTTACAGAACTATGAAATAACTGCAGCTACATACACATTCCTAAATAAAATATCAGGTTTGAAATCCAAAGTACAAAAGACCATTAAAAACAGTTTATTTGCCAAATCCACTGAGAAACTAGAAGCAATTTAACAGCTGTCTAAATAACCACAAAATATTAAAAACACTTCTGGCTCAATATAAATGACATCTGAAGGGAAATGCTGTCTCCTCCAACAGATATCTCATTTGTTTGCCTAGAACCATTTATACTTCATTTAAGCCAGCTGGTGTCTCCATTTGCAGGCATGCATCAATGTCTACAGAATAATCTAAGTTCCTGTAAACCCTTCCCCATTCACAAGCTGCAATTTCCATTCTTAATGGCAAGCTTCCAGCAAATACAATGAGTTTTTACAAAGGAATTTAACTCTTCATCCAACTCAGTTCCTAAGGCAGGCTAGAGCAATGGAAACAAGTCAAAAGAAATGTATAAAAATGCCTATCAAACTCACAAACAGGTTGAGTCCATAGAAGGATTTTTTCATCCAGCCATTCATTCATTCACTATACAATCATGAAAAACAATGTGTTGGATTTGACATTCTTGTAATGTTGGATAATATTTTGGTTTTATTAAAATAATTTTGTTCTTGGGCATGTGATGACAATCTTTTGGCTAAATTATAGTATTCTGAGAGGTTTCAAAAGCCAATTGAGAAGAATAGAACACTTTGAATCTGTTTTCAACTAACTTACCAACTGGATGAGTACTGATAAAGCTATTGGAGGCATTCATTTTCCCAACCACAGCCAATGGTTCCCCTCTCCCCACACCTCCAGTTATTCACTTTTCCTTTTCCAAATCCAGGGATTATTACAAACCTCACTGCTAACACCTTAGACCAGGGGTGGACGAACTTGTTCTGAAAAGGACCAGACAGTAAGCATCTGAGCTTTGGAAAAATAAAGGCTCTTGTCAATTACTCAACGCTACTGCTGTAACCTGCAAGAGACATGGACAATACTTAAAAAAAAAAAAAGAGCATGGCTGTGTTCCAATAAAACTTTATTTGCCAGCTCTCCTTTTTCCTGGTATTAGTTGCAATAGTTTGAAAAACATTGATTGAAATAAGTCATCAAGTCAAACTTTGGAATAATCTTCATGGAATGACTTAAAAACAAACTAGGGTTTAAAACTGATGCCCAAGTTCCCAAAACTACTAGTAAAGCTGCAACATGACTTAAGCTACATATCAGAAGACACTAGTTACATATTTAGAGAAGAACAATGATAAAATATTGATAAATTATACACAAGCTCTGAAAAAAATTCATTTCCGTACTCTAGTTCTAAATTGTTTAAATTATATTTGATCTCACAGAAGTGAAAATGAAGAGCTTCCAGAGTCCTGGTGAGTTTAAGTCATTTTCCATTTCCAAATTCAGCTACTTATTTCTGCTAAGGATATATGGGTATTCACTCTTGTAAAGTTTAAGAATTACCACTTTTAAAATAGGAATCTAAAAATTAGGTACTTTGGAAAATTATTCCCAAGTTTGATGACATGAAAACTGGGAAGCTCTTCTGATACCTGCACAGCACTGCAGCTCCCATTATGACACCATCATTACAAAAACCACACAGGAGCATGCCCAAAACTGGCCATGTAAACACAAGGCTAAATTAAACTAGATGCAGAATGTCATTCAAAATTACAGTTAAAAAAGTAAATTTTAGCTATCCAAAACTTTAACAATAACTACTCTTCTCAAGTCAACTTTTTATGTAATATTAAAATTCGCTGAAATAGCTAAAAAACTTTTTTGCAGGCTCAATAAATGTCAATTAGGGTGTGATTTTAGAGTTCAGGATATGACTAAACTTCAGGTAGATGTCAAAAACACCTTGAAGAAGAGAAGACACAGCAATATTTTGGAAAATGTGAATTCGAATCAGTAGGCTTAAACAATTCCAATGATTCCAGTTGTTTTACTATTATAGTCCACTTGACTGAAATTTAAGATAATATGGAGCCAACTGCATTAGCCAGTGCGACAACTCTATCAATGAAATGACAAATTTGCAAAGGATCACAATTTCTTTCTGAATTAATTCCCTTTAAAACTGAGGACAAATACAGCCCCTAGGTGACTTACCTTATATACTCAAGAGTATTTTAGCAAGGAGATATACTTTAACTCCCAAATCTAAAACTGTATTAATTTACCCGCCTCGAATAAAATTTATTGCTGGTTAGCTAGAGCTATTTTTAAGTGGCCTTATTAGTTGTTAAGTACAGATTCCACGGTATCATTTCAATTTTCAATGATACCATTTCACTAAAAAGACAAACTCTAAAAATAATGTTAATCACTGGGAGCTCATTCTTGACACTGTTTCAACAGCAAAAAATGGTAGCCTAGGCATCTGGGGGTTTCCCCATATATGTGGAGAAAGGATATTAAAATTTGACCTGAAAAAACAAAACTAAGTCAATTCCAAATGGAAGTTACAAAATAGAGGTAAATACTGCCCAGATATTTTTTAAGCAAACGATAGAGAAACAAATGTTTCTCTATCAAATCAAGCTATGAAAAAAGGCTTTGTCTACGGATCATACTATTACCAAAGGCAACACACGAAACCTTTGCATGCTACACACACAAACACATTTACACTACCAATCCATAAAAGCCTATCCTAAGACTATGCCAGGGGCACACAAGGATTCTCAAAGTACAGGAAAAACTGGACATACACATGCAGTACTAAGCAGCCAAAAGGTAATTCCCCATATATAGTCACTTTCAGGAAATGTTTCAAGATGAAAAGCAAAAATAGTCTGAAGTCCCTTGGAATCTTGGGTTGATTTCTTTATTATTCTCAAGGCCGAGGCTTGTTCTCCCAATCTACTTTGCTGAGCTGAAATAAAGCACTTTCAACTAAAAGCAACTACTCAGTCCCGAATTTCAATACAATTCGCTTTTCATTAAACGTTCGTTTCTCAAGGTCTAGACGTATAGTGTGATCATATTACAGTAATCGGGAAGAGCATTTTCTTTGTTGACCCTGCTAGGGAAACAGGTCTTGACTCAGCCAAAGTGGCGTTCTTGTGGGTGATTAATGACAGGCCTAGATCTCGCTTCAGTGACATCCCTCCCCACCCCCTCTGTACTAAAATCAGCCATGTCTGAACTGGAGGAGGGGCTGCTGCCTCGCCTCCAACCACCCAGCCCCAGAGTTAGTAGCTGCCACCAATCGATTCCAGGAGACAGCCATCGAGACTCGAGTGAAATGTGTGACCCTTCTCCTGCCTAGATTTCCGTGTAGCACCCTCTCTGATCATTTCCGCTGGGGCTGTCCAGACTACGGAAACGCTCAATTCCAGTCATTCGGCCCAAAGAAAAGGCCCTTCCTCTTCCCCACAATACCTGGCAAAGCACGGCCCCTACCCACCCCATCTCTCAACTCCCCCCCATCCCACGCGCCCTCCTTGACATTGGACCATTTCTATTGTGACTCCGAGGCTGGAGGGTCTCATTTAAAGGAATGTGGTCCCCTAAGGCCTCTGCTAAGGTCGGGGAGCAATCCGGGAACCCCCACCCCCGCGGCCGCATCCCGCGCCCCCCGACCTCTCGCCCATCCGGCGGCAGCCGGGCCGAGTCCCACCTGTGGTGAGGCGGGAGGAGACGTCGCCGAAGGGA